CTCTCACCCTCTGCATCTCTGGCCTGTACCCCAGTTCTATATGAATAAATAAATAAATCTTAAAAAAAAAAATTCCAATACTGTTTATGTGACTGAAACGAGCCTCATGGTTAATTATTAATCCAGAAATTCCCAATTCAGGTTCAGGTCTAGGAGTATCTGGACTAGGAACAGTCTAGACTTTCCTACCATTCAGATAGGATATCTATTTTAACAGAATAATGTTTGTTCTGTATATAGTAAACTCCAGGGTAGTGGTTTGTAACTCAGAGATACTGGCTGTATGTGCAGACATTTGGGTGGGGGAGGGTTGTTACTGGCATCTAAGAACATTGCTAAACATCCCAAAATACACAAGACATCTCATGACAACTATCCATCCAAAACATCAGTGTTGCTGAGGCTGAAAAGTCCCACTTTAGGAATATAAAGTTAAAAGACATTAAAATAACAATTACACAGCATGGTCAATATTCAATCAGATCTATACTGGGTTTTGCAAAAGCACAGAAAAAGTAGGGGGAAGAACTAAGGTTGAAAGACATTTCCTGTCAATGATCTATGATTTCTGTATTGAGCTTGGAAGAAGTAGAGTATAATCAGGAAACAATAATAGTCTTCAAGGACAAGAACACAGTAGGTGGACAGAGAGCTGAGGGCAGCATGAAGACTAAGAAACCACCAAAGAATTTACATAGGAGAATTTCAGAGTAACATTTGTGCTTGTAGATGAGTAAAGTAAGGAGATCATTGCAGTAGTGTAAATGAAAGGCGTGTACTAGCTAGTGACTGTGAGATGAGGAGGATATAGTATAAGGATGTAAGGAGCATTTTCTAGGCTTGGTGACTGACTACAAAATGATTTTTGGTGTCAGTTACCAAGACTAAGAATACAAATGGAGAAATGGGTTCACAGTGAAGACATATGCCTGAACAGACAACAGAAACATGGATTAAATACCTCAAAAGGCACCAAGGTTAGAATGTCCAGATTTGGAAGGAAGCCAGGCTAATGGCTAAGGCCACGGGTATGGTCACCCTTCCTATGCTCTAATTTCTTTCTACATGATACCCACATTCACAGCTTTTGGATTCTGAAAATTGTCCAAATAGTTAAGAACCATAAATAGAGGAAGAGAAGAAAACACGATCCCTGGAGTAACTGGTGAGTGCAAGAAGGGGAATACTGATCCTGTATTACTTTACTTTCCAACAAAATATCTTAGTATCTTACCTCATTTTTCCTTTTCTCTTTAATCTGTGTTAGTGCTTTGTTCGACTGTAGTTTGTCTGCATTAAAATTAATGTACAGACCACCCAATTGCTTGATACTCACACCAGGGTCTATGCTGCTGCTCGTTAACTTCAAACTGAAAGAAAAACAACCACTTAAAAGCAAATAATTAAGTCAAATTGGAAACAACTGGGACTGTAGTTTTAGAATCAATGTTTTCTCCTCTCCCCATTTACTGTTCATGACCAAATAATTTTTTTTTTTTTTTACAATGGAATTACCACAAAACTACGACCATTTATTTTAAATCTCAAAGTCACTTAGTAGAAAATCCTAGGGTGGGTGAAAAACGACTTCAACAAAAACAGCTTTCTGTGAATGTGCACATATTTATTCTCAGATTATCTTAAAGAGAAATTAAGGCCATATAACAAGACTTCATAAAGGGACTTTATAAAGAAACCCTACATGGAGCAATTCAGCTCAACTTCACATATAGTGAGTTAATAAATGTAGCTCCACCTCTAATAAAAACACAGGCAATTCCTGCACTTCCAAAGTAACCAAACTTAAAAAAGTGCTTTTGTGTTAACCGAGGGCCACCAGTAGTGCCTCTCAACCAGTTTTGATGAGCATCATTAATCCCCATTGGAGCTTTCAAAAAAGTCATAGCCCAGACTTACCAGTCTTCTGCAGATGGCTTTGGGTTCCTTTCATATTTATGTAATGTAAGCACTACTTTACTTATTTTTACATTTTAAAAGGATAGGTTTATTAGAAAAAGGAAAGTGGAAAAAAAAAAAGAGTGCTACATAGTCACAGGTGGGCAGTCTTAGGAAGAGAGATTTGCTGCTGCTTCTCAAAGGGAAAAGTTTTATGAAAAGAAATGTCTGCATTTCTCAGCAGGCATGCGACCTGGATTACTATTTTATATTACCGAAGGACCTTTTTTATAATCAAGTACACTTGGGCTTACAGTCACTTTATCCCTAATTATTCTGTAAACAGAACAGTTGAAAGCTTTGATAATCCCTCTGCTGTAAGTGAAGTCATTACACTGCAGTACCTTCTGAGTCTAACCTAGTTAGTGTACAAAAGAATTATGTATGTTCAAATGTACAGAATATACGTATGTTTTCTTCTCACTCCTAGACAAAGTTTGGCTTTTAATCTCACGTAAGAGATTAATTTCACTGTTTTGGATGGAAGATTGTACATCTGTTAATATAGAGGTCCTTACAACATGCTTCCATTTCTGGTGGATACACTGCCTCCTGGGGCCCCAGCCTAGGGAAAAAAAGCCTAAAAGAGAAAAGGAAACTAAGGAGACAGCTTCAAATATTGACCCTTTTCACTGGGCAATGTTTGAGCTTATAAGTGATCATCTTCTCAAACTTTTACTTTTCAATTTCTCCACAATCAAATAGAAAAAACAAGTTATTTTATCTTTAAACTAGCTATTAACAGTGAGGAGAAAATGTAATTGTATGGCAAATTAAAATATGTACCAAAAACTTACTTTAAAAAACAAAGGTAAAACTTACAGTTTAGACTTCGTGCTATTTAGTAAGTCATCTTCATCACTAAACTCACTCTCTTTATTTTTGTCATGGTCTGATGGTTCTTCTTCACTGCTTTCTTCTTCTTCTTCTTGTTTTTCTTCTTCTGTGGCAATCTCACTTGCCTTGTCTTCTTCATTCAAGTAAAAATTTTTATCAGCACCCATACCAGGAGTTGTGTCAATTACAAACAACGCATTGTCACATATGTTCTTTGAGTTTCCATTTAACGACTCCCCTTGACCATGACTTTCAACAAAACACAGCGTGTCCTCTTCATTCTCACTGTTTTCAGACTGCTGGCTTTCATCACTGCTGAGAACTAATAAAACAGAATCATCTTTATCCTGAGATGGATGGAGTTCAGTCTTCGAGAGTTTGGCATCACACTCAAAATCGATATCCCTTTCTTCATTCATGCTTTCACTGACTCCTATCATCGTGTGCTCGTCTTCATCACTATCATCGCGATCATCAAATTCTATCAAATCACTTGTTTTCATGGTGTTCTTTCTTTCATCATTCCACTTGTCCGTTTCTGCTACTGCAAATGTTTGAGCTAAAGATTTTATTACAGTCTCACAGTTCAGATTTGAGTGCTCTGAAATGGTTTTGGTGTTTTGGGGAGTAGAATGCCTTTGAGAAACAGATTGCTGATTGCTAGTGTCATGATGTTCAGAAATATCTGATTGAGAATTTTTCTCATTAATTTCTTTCCCCTCATCTATTATGCCTCTGGCTTCTTCATCTAAACTCTTCTGTTTTATTTCTTTGAGAGGTGCATGACTGGCTTGTTTTCCTTTTCTCGTATCTCTTTGCTCAGTCTGTGCCTGCAATTTCTTCTGCATACTCCTAGTGGTTCTCCTAACTGCAACTCCAGAAAATGAAGAAATGTCTGAACATGATGACTCAGCATCAGAAATAGTCTCTGTATGTGATTCCTGGCTTGCATCTGCTAGGATTTTAGCCTTACTTTTTCTGGTTCTTGTAGTTAATACTGTGGGAGTCACAACTCTAGAAATGCCTGAAACATGTGACTCTGCTTCAGAAAGCACTTCTTCAGTATAAGACTCACTTATTGAAGTATTTTTCACTCTTTTTCTAACACTGGGTATTGGGGTACATGCCACTAAAATCTGCCTCCTCCTCGTTACTCTTAAAATGGTATCCTGAGGCTCAGACACAGTGGAACATTCTGACTCTGCTTCAGAGGCCTCTCCATTATTGGGTGGTTTGGTCTTTGCTGGTAATGAGTCTGTCGTTCTGCTCTTTCTCTCTCTGGTTTTAGGAGTTCTAGGGGTTGGACTTTGTTTCCTAGTAGTCTGGGTCTGTGATTCAGCAGTACTTGGATCTTCAGATCTAGTAACCTTCCCACCTTTCGGATGCAGTTGACTTTTTTTAGTAGCAGAATTCTGCAAAGCCAGAGAAAACACACTGTCATTTAGGAAGAGGTGGACAAGGGCAAAGTAATTGTGACAATCCCCACCAGAGCAAATTGTAAAAAAGCATTGAAAAACTCTGTAAGGGGCCCTCCTGGTGCCCTAGAGTTAAGTCTCAACTCTATCATAACCACCGCCTGAGTTCCACCCCCTGCCAGGGAGCTGACCCACATATGGTACAGCAGACCTCTCCTGTCTTGCTAGCTGCTCCCCTCAGTAATATATTTCAATAGATCTGACCGTTCTGCTTTTCCCTGTCTCTGCTCCCCACTTCTGTCTCTGGTGAATTCTCTCATCCTCCCGCCCCCCCCCCCAATCCCACCCAGTCTAGCCCACACACCAGTTCATCTACTAGTGGGCTAAAAAAAACCCAAAACCAAAAAAACCAAAAACACAACAACCGGAAAATACAAAAGCAACCACAACTCCATGCTTGAAACAACAGTAATTAAAAAATAGAGGCTCTGATCCTAAGTTTGCAGGGCCTTGTCTCACAGTGCTGAACCTGACTTCAGGAGTAAAACAAGTAAATGAACAGAGAATGCCTTTTCCACTTAAAAGTCAAAGATCTACTTCCCACTCACATAGTTGGAAAGTAACAAGAGTTAAACCAACGTTGAGCAAAGTTGTGTTTAGGTACAAATACACTGGTGGAATCGGTCGCTGACATCTTTTAAACACGAGAGAATTAAGGTTCCGTTTCCAACAACATAAAAAGGCAGTGGGAGACAAACACCACGCGAGCCAGCAGGCGGCACTCCCCACGCCAAAATGAGTGGGGTCCTCGTTTTGGGGTCCGCGGGGTCTTGGTCCACGGGAAAATGGTGCCTTTCTCTTCAACTACTCTAGACTCGACTCTGACTTGGTGGTCAAAATTGCCCTCCCTTGTACCGTGTTAACAGCAAGGATGAAAAGCCTGAGCTGTGCATTAGCGCTGAACGATCCAGAGCAGGTTCCTTAATCTCGCTGTTTCAAGCCAAGATCTGCCTCAATACCGCTGTGACAACTGAAGCGCTGCTACAGACGTAGCGATGGGCCCGGCTCCCAGCAGCGCGCAGTCAGCTCGTGCCCTTCCCGCCGGCCCTACTCACGCTCGGCGGGAGCGGCCATTAGCGTCACCCTGGGGGCGCCTTCCATTTCCTACCTTCGGTTGAGAGCTTTCAGCCGACGTGGCTAGGCTTCTGGCCTGAGGCCCCGCCGATCGAGTGACGACCATCTTCTCAAATAGTCCGCATGCGGCCTTCCAGCCCGGTCAGTTCCGGCGCACCGGAAATGCGTCAGAGAAGCGGCTCGCTCGCGAAGTTCGCGCAGATCCCGAAATCTCGCGAGAACTCCTCACCTGCCTCCACGTTGCCGACGGAGGCTTGGATGGTGTGACATGCGCGAAAACTTACCCGCGAGCTGGGATTTTGTTTCAGTACTGTAAACTGCAGACCAGCATTTGTGGGGAGATGTCGAGCGAAGAACGCTGTAGTTAAGAGTGCCTTCGTCCCCGTGTCAAACGAACTGGGAGTCCCAGCTCCCACCAGCATTTGATCAGTTCTAGGGCTCGTAATGTAGCCCTAGGTATGGCCTAAGTTTCTGCAGTGTTTATGGATTTTTTTTAAGTCACGTACTCTTGGCATAATTTGTGAAGTTAAGTGTAAATAAAAAACTTGGAGTAGAGCTGTATATGCCTCAAGAACTCGGAGACTATTAAACTACCTAAAAGGGAGCTGGGGAGTAGGGATTATAATAAACTCGAATTGTTAAGGAAACAGGGTTGAAAAGAGAACGACCAGAATCAAGATAAGTTTGTTTCTCTTTTAGAATAGTGGAGACCTAGAATACCTTTATGGCTAGTAGAGAATTGAAGAAGTAAACATATGTTGATGAGAAAGTTAAGTGCCTTGCCAAATCGGTTTTCTTTAGAAAACTATTCATTTTCTCTTAACAAAGTACAGATCCCACACCTTCCGGCCCCCCCCTCCCCCCGCACGCTGCTACTCAACTAAATAACTCCATGGTTTTCCTAGTAGCCAGATGGATCTGTTTATGAGTTACATACAAATTAGGTGTTGCATAGTTCTTTACGGATATCTTAAAGGAGATGATATCCTTAATTTCATTGTATCCCTCGGGAACTTGTGTTCTTTGGGTTTCAAGCAGCAAATTTGTGTCACTAGAGTGAGAATCTTATTTTAGGGGTCCCAGGGCATTATGAAAAACATGAGTGCCTGACAACTGATGGAGTTCCCTATCAGTCCCAAACGGCCTATTTCCCTATCATTTTGCCTGAAACACCTTTTTTTTTTTTTTAATTTATGCATACAGAACTGGGGTACAGGCCAGAGGTGCAGGGGTGCTGAGAGGATTCACCAGAGACAGTTGGGGAGCAGAAAAGCCAACTGACGAAGTACACTGCTGAGAGGAGAAACACCTGTCTAAAGGTTATTGTTACGTGGGGATTTTTCTGTTATTTGCAGCTAACCCTAATCCCAACCGAAGAACAATACAAAATAAAGATGGAAGGATGAGTACAAAAGATAGCTCCTTCCCTGGAGACCGTAGGGAAGAGTAGTTATCTGAAGCAGGGAGAATGTGAATGCAGGAAACTGCAGAGGAGAGGAGGGGATTTTAGGTAACCTCTGTGTAGTAGATTCATCTGCTGAGAGGAGGGAAGAGGTTTAGATTGAATTGTAGGGAACGTCATGAGGAGTAAAAAGAATTTCAGTAGGGTGAAGTGGCAGAGAGACCATATAAGAGAAAGAAGAGGGAGAAAAGGGGAGGCATGAAGCAAGGCAGAATGGTATAAAGGAAGGAACTGAGCCATTTGATGGCGGTAATGGAGATCAAAGCTACAGGGGATAAAGCCTTTAAAGTAACAGTACTGACTTCTTACTATTTGCTGGATATTATTCAGAGTGTTTTACTTGTATTAACTCATTTGATCTCTACCATACTTAAATATGAGTGACTGTATAAACACAGTATCACAGAAGTGCATATAGGAAGTTGGGGAAATATAAATTCTATTATTTGCAAGCATGGCCCCCTTTAAAGGAAAACTCCCCCATACCCAACATTTACAATCTAAAAAGGTCAAGGAAGAAATATAATGCTAAAAGAAAAATGTCAGTACATATTTCTGAGAAGACTGAGCTGGTCTACTATAAACAGATCTGCTGATCACAGGCAAAACTATATAAAGTGTTCAAGTTTTGTTTTATGTGGGCTTACCAGATCTAACCTTTTTCCTTAATTCTACATTCTTTGCATATCCTCTACCCAAAATGGATTGGGGGTAAATACAGGATACTAAAGTTTAGGTAAATACACCATAAAAATACAGTCGTTATTACTCAGATCCAAAGAGAAACTCTCCCTTGATAATCTGGATTTTACTAATTAAACTCATAAGCTGAATAGCTGATTCTCTCTAGAACTTTAGGCATTAACCAAAGATCTGAGTTTTAGTGAGTGAACTTTCTAAAAACTGATATGGTCAATGCATTATTACATGTAAAACATTACAGTTAAGTTTGACTATTCTGTGATCCCCAAAAATCCCATCTGGTTTGAGATCCTTCAGTGTGAGCTGGATCTAGTTCACTGATAATGAAAAGAATGACAAACCAATGTCATTTTCAAGATTAGGTTTAAAAAAATAAAAAGACTGGCTTCTGACTTATGCTTGTTCCTTCTACGGGGAACTAGCTGTGTTTTGAGCTGGAAGATGGCAAGGAAGTGAGGGATGCCACTGGTTTCTAGCCAGGGAGAAACTGAGTCAGGCCGACAACCTCATGAGCAAGTTCGGAAGAACATTAAACCCAAATGACGCATAGAGGTGAGACTAACTCCAGTCTGACACTTGAATTGTAATCTTTTAAGAAACCCTGAGGTATCCAGGCACAGCAACAGAGAAGTCACTACTAAATAATTTTGTCTATCGTAAAATCGTACCTAAAGGAATACAGTATGTATGCTTTCATGTTTAGCCTCTTTCACACAGCATGTTTCTAAGATCTCCTGCTGTGTATACTCTATGTAGCTCATTATTTTTTATTGCTGATTACGATTCAACTGTTTGATTATAATTCAGCATTTGCCTTTTAGCTTCCAGTTTACATCCTTTATGGACACATTTTTATTTTTATTGAGTAAAAACTTAGGGATAGAATTGTTGGGGCCCACGACCAGTGAACATTCACATTTGTAAGAAAGGCCAAGTTGTCTTCCAGAGTGGTTGTGCCTTTCTCTGTCCCTCCAGCATTATCTGGAAGGTCTGTATATGCCACATCCTCATCAACACTTGCTATTATCCATCTTTTAACATTTTAGTATCTCATTGTGGTTTTCAGTTGCATTTTACTAATGACTAAACATTCTGAACATTTCAAAATGTACTTACTGGTTATTCATATTAGTAGAAAAATTTGTTCTAAGCTTTTGCCTGTTTTTTATTGGATTAAATTTTGTGAAAAGTTCTTTACACATTCTGGATACAAGGCCCTTATTGAATGTGATAGATATTTTCTGCCATTCTTTGGCTTGTCTTCTCACTTTTTCGATGGTGTCCTTTAAAAAGTGCAATTTTTAAAAGCTGATTATATCCAATTCATATTTCATTAGAAATATATACTGGAACTGTTTCCCCCCAGTGTGTCGCTTACATTTTTATTAACAGTTGTCTTTCAAAGAATATAAGATTTAAATTTTGATAAAAATATTTTCTTTTGATTAAGCTTTTTGTTACCAAAAAGTTTTATAGCCTGTTTTGATTTTTCTGTTCTGTTCTCATGTCATATACAACAAAGTTGAAATTTCTGACTAAAAATAAAAAAAGCAACAAGAAAAACACATTACTTACAGAGTACAGTATATATGCAGAAAGTCAAAAGGAATAGCATCTTCAAGATGTAGAAGATAACTGCAAATTTAGAATTCAGTAAGGTAAAATGACCATTTAAGATGAAGAACAGGGGCCCTCCCTGGTGGCACAGCAGGTTAACGTACAGCACTATGAAGCTAAAGCCACTTCAGCATGAGTTTGATCCCAGCCCTGGAGGTGACCCACATGGCACGGCAGACCTCTCCTGACCTGCCCACTGCTCCCCTCAGCAGTGTACTTCGTCAGTCGGCCTGTTCTGCTCCCCAATGTCTCTGGTGATCCTCTCACCGTCCCTACACCTCTAGCCTGTACCCCAGTTCTGTATGCATAAAGAAAGAAATCTTTAAAAATAAAAAAAGATTAAGAACAGTATCACTTTTAGGCAAATAGAAGCTAGAAAGTTTATGGCAGAAAACTGATATAAAAAAAATAAAGAATTTAAGGCAGTAAAAGTGAATTTAAATGGAGTAGGATGCAAGAATTATCAGCAAAGCAAAGAAACAGGGAAAACAGATGAAAATGATGTAAAAAAATTTTTTAAAAAGCAGGGAAAACAGCTGAGCTTTAATGTTTACTGTAAACAAACATTTCTTAGAATAATGGACCGACACATGAAAATCTCATATAACATTTTATATATTTATTCATTGCTGAAGGGTACATATTAAGATTTTGTTTAACTCTGGTAGTTAAACTACATACACCATGTCCTGGCATGTTGGGCAGGTTCTAGTCACGTGTGAAATACAACTTTTCTACCCTTACCTACTCATCTCAACAGAAGCCATTCCTTTCTTAACAAGCTCTTGAAAAAAGTGCTTTTATTGAAGTCCTGAAGTTCATGATGAACTGTTCATCATTCAGTAAAAGCATATTTACCACAAAGGAGGCAAACAGGACCCTCTGCCCAGAATGCCCAGCCACACCTCATCCACTGCTTCCACTGCTCCTGCTACTCCAAGCCTAATTTCTTCAGGGGAGCTTGTCCCTGACCCTGCTCTCCAGCCCCCACTTCTTTCCACAGGCTCCCATCCGTTTTCACTTTTATAATTAACAAATGCAGCCTTGTGTTGTTCTTGTTCATGTACAGTTCTCTTCTTCCAAATATGCCAAGTATAAGTTCTTTGAACAGAGGGTTTGTTTTTCATCTGTGTCTAGTTGCAAATATACCTTGTACAGTGCCTGTCACACAGTAGGCATTCAATAAACCTACTGAATGAAAGAGTGAATGGCTTTATGGTTTGGATATTTAAAAATTGGATTCATAATTTGTTTTCATATCACACTTAGTCTGAGTTCAAATAGTCCAAAATCAATATAACATTGCAGGATTCTTATAACTCAATTAAAAAATACACATTTTAATTAAA